GGCTCCCCGCTTATGCTAATGAAGCCCGGGAAATTCAAATCCCAGGCTTCATTAGCAAGTGCGGTATGCCTACATTACCCCGCTAGTTCGAACTAGCGGGGTAGTGTAGACATACCCAAAGAAATTTACTTTAAGAGCTGTTGTTCTGACTATATTTGAGATTTTAGTCATAGACAAGTCCTTGTATTTGTGTTTACTACAATGTACAATTCACTATAGCTCTGATAACATGTAATATGTTTGTCTATTCCCTTGTTTTCCAGAGCTGACAGAAAGCGGAGGCTAAAGAAGAACAAGATAAAAATGGATAATGTTAAAAGACCATCTGTGAAGCATGCTACGTTCCCACGGAAAAAAATAAAGAAAAAGAAAAACACTCTTGCTTGTTAATACTCAAGTTACCTAAAACTGTGAATGATTTTACAGCCAATTTTTGCTTCCATTTGCTGTAAATGTTAATATGATATTTTAGATAAAGCCGGTTTGAATTAAAAATGTCTGCTTCTTGTAATATTACCTCAGAACTTTGGCAGTAGGAGAAAACTGCTATCCAAGCTGCTCTTTCCATTTGTGAATATGTTCAAGTGTGATATCTAAAACAGCTTATATACTAGTCTAAACCATGACTGCACTAAAAGACAAAATGGAATAATATTGTACAGGACTTGTAAATTATTGGGACAAGGTTTTTAATAGCTTTTAATTAACTTGATATTGACCTGCATTTTTCTCCTTGATATTGACCTGCATTTCCACCTGGCTCTTTTGCTTTCCAAACACCATCTACCATGCCCATGTAATGGATGGCAAGTCAGCCTTTTGTTCTTTATCTACTGGTATGTTGGTTGTTTCGTGGCAGTAATGGAAACCCGTGTATTATTTCTTCTAGATAACTAGATACATGTAGTTTTTAAACTTTTATCCACAGTTGAGACATTATACAATGCAGAGACAACAAAAATGCAGAGGCTGTTCCCCTCCAACTATCCAGTATTTTTAGCATATCAGTGGTAAACTGGACAGTTTATAGATTTAAGGTCAGAAGGGACCATTGCAATCATTTTGTTTGACCTCACTATTACTGGCCATCCAACTTCTCCAAAATAATTCCTAGACAAGTGCCCCTTGTTATGTGTCAAGTATGGGATTTTTTTAATAATTAAACTTAACTGTATAATTTCATTTACTAGTGAGGAGCAGTCTGCAGTTCAAAGAAACGCATATAAATTATTTTTGATGCTGCGGTAAACATGAATATAGAAAATTCAAAGGAAATGAGCAATGCAATGGAATTAAACTTTCTATAACTATATTGGTTCCATTCAAGTAATTGTTCTCTACCTAGTAGGGATATTAGATACACCAAATATTATCAGCTACACGGTTATTCAGTAGTCCCCGGCAGTGGCGCCAAGAGCCAGTGTGCTCCTAGACCCACTTCCGGGGAGACCCCTGTCACCCTTCAATGCTGCATCTGGTGGCAGGCAGGAGCCAGTCCACAAGGACAGCCAATTAAAAACCAGCTTCTGCTTGCCACCCTGTGCTGCTGCCTCTGATAGTGACAGCAGCAGCCCCTGTCCATGGGGGCCCCAAGTTCCCTGTGGACAGAGGCTGCGCCGGCATTCCACAGAGCAGCCTCTGTCTGCAGTGAGTTTAGGTCTGCCATGGACAGAGGCTGCTCCACAGCAGCATGCTCTGCCCACGGTGAGCCTGGGTCCACCACTCCTCTGCGCTGCTGCCTTTGGGGGCAGGTGGACCAGCTCCTCCCTGAGTGCCGCCTCCCCCCCTGCTCCCTCACAGAGGCAGGAGGAAAGGGGGACAGGCAGCACCACAGAGCTCACTTAAAAGCCAGCTTCCCATGTGCAGTGGTTCCCACCTTCTCCCCTACCCCACACACCCTATGCTGTGCCTCTCTATCAGAGGCAGCAGTGCAGGGAGGAGGCCAGCTGCTCCATGGGATCCAGTGCCCATAGGGAGATGGCTTAAAAACCAGCTCTTGTGTCCCCACACCTTTGCTGCCTCTGTCTCAGAGACAGTGGGGGGGAATGTGTGTAGTTGATAGAATTAACTGACAAACCTAGGCTTATTCGTTAATTGTGTAGACGATAGAGATGTAAGCAAGTAGTCAGCTACTCACTTTTCCCACCCCCCCGCAAGGTGGGAAAGGTTCGAGCTTTAATTCGAGCTACCTAGTCTGTGCCGCATGTACCCGTGGGCAGGTAGTTCAAACTATGGGGCATTTAAACATGGCGGCACCCAGGAATGTGCAAATGAAGCCTGGGATATTTAAATCCCGGGCTTCATTTGCAAGTTTGAATGCCTCCATTAGCCACCCTAGTTTGAACTAGGGTGGCAGTGTAGACATACCCTAAGCGAGCACCTGCGGTCACACTCTGATGCATTTGAGCAATATTTCCCAAATTCAAAAGATCTGAGGGTTGGGAAAGAATGGATCCATAGTCCATTTCTTCCTGCCAACAAGGTGTCATCCTTGCCATTGCTGCAAAAGGATCAATTAGTTGATTGAGCTGGCATGTGACAGAGGACTTAAAAGTTTAATTAATTCATCTTCATCTTCCATCCTTCTGGATTAAAACAAAGGATAAATACCCAGAACTCAGCACCCTAGCCCTCAAGGCTTTGCTGCCATTTCCATCTTCATACTTCTGTGAAACACATTTCTCTGGAATGACTGCTACCGAGACCAGACATTGGAATAGGCTTGACGTGAGAAACACACTGGCTGTGTCTAGATGGGCAAGTCTTTCTGCAAAATCATCTGCTTTTGCGGAAAAACGTGTCAGCTGTCTACACGGGCGGCTTGAATTTCCCTGTCAAGTATAAGGCCTCAATTTGGCTAGTGCTCCCAGACTCCTCACCACCCTTCCTCCCCTCCCCCACTGCTGCCCCAGGCTATTGCCTCCAGGCCCTCTACCTTCCACCTCCCTGCAGGCAGGGTAGCCTCAGTCTTCCAAGCTGGTCCGGCAACTATGCAGCTGCAGACTTTCTGGACCTGGAGCTCCAAAAGACCCATAAGCATGCATGGGCTTCACTGTCAGAGCTGACTCCCAGCTACCTTTCCCTTTCCCCCTTAAAGGTACAGAGGGATTTTCGAACAACTACCCAGGCACCTCAACTCACCCTCATTAGTAACCGCCCCTCGCCGCGCCCGGGAAGGCTGGGGCCGGTGTACCGGGACCCCGAGGGGCAGCGCTGTGGAGCTGCAGCATCTCCCTGCTGCACGCGTTGGGCCGCAGAGGGAATTCCGCGGGGCAGTCCCTTGTGTTTCCCGCCACACGTGAGCTGCGGGGCGCGGCGGCGGCGCAGTGGCCAGGC